CAGCAAAGCCTTAGTATGTTTTGTGCCTTTAGGGATCCTGCTCATTTTCTGAACTGAAGACCTGACTCAAAGTTAAAAGCACTAACCACTGCAATGTCCTGCTCTCTTCTCTCTGATCTCTAAATCTGTGATAGTAGTGTCGCTTTTCAAAGGTAACCGTATCTTCTCCTGGTCTCCAAATCTGCCCTGTCCAATATGCTATCCACTAGCCACTTGTGGCCATAGAGATTAAGTGGAACTTCTACTTCCAGTCAAGATGGAGTAATGGAGTCTTACTGAACCTTTTGCTTAAGACAAGTGAAAGAAGCAGACAAAATACACACACACACACACACACACACACACACACACACACACACAAAAGACAGTCAAAACATTGGTCAAAGGCAGTGAAGAAGAGTGGCCCCTGAGACAGAAACAAAAAAGGTAAGTCCTTTCTACTTACTGCCTGGAGTAGGTTTTAAGATGTGCAAAGGGCAGTCCTGGAAAGGGCAGATAATCAAATAAAATAACTTGAAGATCTGCAGAGAACTTCCCTGAAGAGTTCACAAGAGTCCTGATCAGCATCTACTTAGATAAGGCTGGGGCGCTTATCTGAGGCTGGGGAGAGAACTACCAAAAAAGAATTAGAGGGGACAATCCTTGGAGATCATGCAAGGATGAAAATAGTGCCCACCTGCCAGAAAGGAAAATCTCAAAATTCAGGAGCATTGGTCAGGGTACAAAGTGGGGTACTGCCTCAGTAAAAGAATTAAAAATAGCTTCAACTAAATGTAGCTCTGGTCTGGCCCAACAAAAATTAATAGCAAGTCAGGAAAGGAAACGATTTCCAAGCAACTTAATGGCTTCCCTAAGACAAAACTCAAGCATATTTGTGGGATTTAAAAAATATTTAGTACCCATCAGGGTAATATTTGTACTTTCTAGCATTCAATAAAAAAAAATTACCAGACATGCAAAGAAATAGGAAAACATAACCAATAGTGAGAAGAAAAATCAGCAGATTGAAATTGAGGGATTCAAATAATAAAATGATAGACAAGGATAGAAAAGCAGTTATTATGGCTGCATTATATATGTTCAAGAAGCTAGAGAAAAAAATGAGTTTGTTAAATTGGGACATGGAATTTATGAAAAAAAGACCGACATTAACTTCTAGAGATGACAACTATGTTGTCTTAAATCAAAACTGTGTAGGGGTAGTATTACTAAGAGAGTAGAATTTTAGAAGAAAAGATTAGCAAGAATAAATGCAAAGACACAGATCCTATTTAAAATGAGGCACAGGAAAAAAAGACTGAAAAAACAAAACATCAGTGAATTGTGGGACATTATCAATCCAACACACATACATATGTGAAAAAAGGGAAAACTTTGGAAAATATTGGTTGAAAAATTTTCAGACTTGATAAAAATCAGGCCCACATGCAAATCTAAGAAACAAAACAAACCCCACAAACAAGAAGTGAAGAATAGGGCCGGTGGAATGGCTCAAGTGGTGGAGTGTCTACCAAAAAGCTGGAGAGCCAGTTCAAACCCCAGTACCACCACAAAGAAAAGAGAGGGGAGGGGAGGGGATGAGAGAGGAGAGAGAAAGAAAGAAAGGTGAAGAAATCCACTCCAGGTCTCATAATCAAATTGCTTAAAATTCAAATAGTAAAGAAAAAAATCTTAAAACCAAAAAAACAAAAAAAAAAGACATATATGTGGAAGAAAAAAGATGAGAAAAAGACTAAAGAACAAAATCCAACTTTTACACTTTATTTCAACTTTTTACTGTAGATTTTACTTAGTGGAGTAAGGAAGCAAAATTAAGTAATTAAATAAATAAGCAAATAAATGAATAAATGGCATCCAAGTTTGGAAGGAAAAAGTAAAATTGTCTTTAATGGCATGAGATAATTGTCTATGTCAAAATGTGTATTACGGAATCTACAGAAAAGGCCACTAGAAATAATAAACAAGGTTAGAAAGGTTGTTGAATACAAGATTAACATAAAAAGATCCATTATAATTACATATACTAGCAATAAACCACTAGAAATTCAGATTTAAAAATCAATACTACTTATATCATAAGAAATATGAAAAGTTGGAATTCATTTGACAAAAGTGTGTAAGACTTGCATATGAAAACTATGCGACATTGGTGAGAGAAATGAAATAAGGCCACCTGGTTGAAACTCTTCTAAGAATGGGGGGAGGGGAGGATAAAGGAGAATGATGGAGGGGGTGAATTCAACTGTGGTATATTGTAAGTACTTTTGTAAATGTCACAATGTACCCCCAGAATAATAATAATATAATAAAAAATTAAAAAGAAATTAAATAAGACCTAAGTAAATGGAGAAATATAGTGTGTTCATTTGTTAGAAGGCACAGTACTATTAAGATGTCTATGTGAAGACTAGCTGAAATGCCCGAAGGTTTTGCAAACTAAAACGTTAGCAGGATTTTTTTGGGGGATCAATTTTTCAGCAAAGTTGCAGGAGAATTTAAATAAATGGTCCTGAAAATTCTGAGTTTCCATTGGCAAAGAACTAGCATCACTAGCACCACTACCACAATTTCAATCTTTATTTCAGATTCCACATGAAAATTAATTTAAAAAATTATGGTTTTAAATCTCAAACTGTAAAACTGTCAAAAGTTCTAGAAGAAAACAAGAGAAAATCATGGTAAGTTTGGTTTAGACTGTCCTAAATATATCACCAAAAACAGTATCCATAAAAGAAAAAAATAAATGGGACTTCATCAAAACTAAAAAAAAGCTTTTACACCTTCAAAGATATGACAGAGAGAAGAAAAACACAAACCACATATCGGAAGAAAATTTCAAATTACATATATGATATAGGACTTGTACTCATAATACATAAAATCTCTATGCAAATAAATCTGAAAAAACGAACCCAACAAAAATATAGGCAAAAGATTTGAATACTACTTCCCCTAAGAAGATACATGGATGTCAAATAAGAACACAAAAAGATGCTCAACATCATAAGTCACTAAGGAAAAGAAAATTAAACCACACCAAATATAAAGTCTAATAGGAAAAAGATTTTATAGTAAGTTTGTTGAGCACATGTAACAACTGGGGTACTCACATACCTTTGTTGATAATGTATATGGGACAACCAGTTTGGAAGACATTTTGGTAGTTTGTTAGAAAGTTATGCCCAAGCATTTTTACTCCTAAGTATTTATGCAAGAGAAATGAAAGCATATGTCTACAAAGACCTATACATGAATGATCAAAGCAGCTTTATTTGTGTCAAACCTAAGAAAATAGAAACAACTGTAAGGTCTAGCATCATGTAGTTGGGAAACAGCTAATAAATTGTATACCCACACAATGAAATATTACTCAGTAATAAAAAGTAATAAACTAGTAATATGGGTAAACCACAAATTATGCTGAGGAAGACACCAGACTATAATTTCTATGTATGTATATATATATATATATATATATATATATATATATATATATATTATAGTGTACATTCATTCACTTACATGAAATTCTAGAAAAAAACAAGCTAATTTATAGTGACAGATAACACAGGAATTGTTGCCTGGGGTTGTAGGGACAGGAAAAGTCAGGAGCGAGAGACTACAAACGGTTATGAGGAAACTGAGGGTTTCTTAGCCATGACAGTGGTTTCACGGATATATACAAATGTCAAAACTTACCAAATTTTATCTGTTAAGCATATGTAGTTTGCTATATGTTCACCGTATTTTAATTTAAAAGTGGATTAACATGAAGTACAATGAAATGTTCAGTACATCAGTTAACTCTAGTCACACTTTAAATACTTTACAATCACATGTAGCCAGTGGCTGCCATCCTGGACAGCGTAAGTACAGAGTATTTCCATCACTGCTGCAAGGCCTGCGGACAGCACTTGTTCACTTCAGAGGAAGCATCCATTTCTTTTATTCCTTTTATAGCTATCTAAGCTGAACTGTAAGAATAGGAGTAAACATGGCAGTATGACACTGGTATAGAAATTGCTGAAATTTTTTAAAAAGCATACTTTATTAAGTTCCTTTTAATGTAACTTTTCTGCAAAGCAAAATACCACTTTCTATTCGTTAATGTATAGGACACTGCCTCTTCATTTAGGTATCAGAGCTTCTGTGGATTACATTTAGTTTCCTCCAAATCTCAAGTTGATAACATTTTTAAACTAAGTGACATGGAAAGAACGAACTATTTAACACTCTTGGAATTTACTTTTTCCTTATAATCAAAGTGAGTATAGCTTCGATGTAACTCCTAACTGAACATTAACATATTTTTTCATACATTCATGGATACCCTGCAAGTTAGCCTTTCATTGTTTCAGAATATGATATTATACAATACAACTGAATTTTCCTATTTAAAAGAATCAAGCATATAACCCATACACAACAAGTATAATCAGAAATTTCCAATGTGAGAATAGACATTAAAAAAGAACACCATGATATGTCGTGAAATATTTCATATTCAAGGAACAGTTAAAAAATCAGGGCAGAGTTGTTTAACCTAGTATTCTGATGGAAATTTTTTCTTTTTTTCACTATAACTTCCAGTTTTGAAAGTTACAGGTGATTTTATTTCAAAATACAAAACAAAATCCCTCAAACACTATTTTCTGCCCCAACCCTACCTAGTAGCTTATGGACTTGGCAGAGTCTGTGTTTGCTCAGTTTTTGTTTCAATACAGAGAATGCAGGGCTGAAATCCTCAACTCTCCTTGATCCACAGCCTGCTACACTAACCTTTGAGGCATATTTTGATGTCTGAGTCATCACTGTCTTAGAATAGGAATTTCAGAAAAAGGCAACTGGAGTTGGGAAGAGAAAGGAGTTGGAGGCCAGTGTAGACACACAAAGACAACCCTCAAACTGTGTATTATAGGAAATAAGCAAGAAGTATAAAAACAGAAACAAAGTCCCTCTGTTTTTTGCAGAAGCAGAACTCAGAAGCCAGCTTCACTTACTTTTTTACACCGACAGAGCCATTTTCCTTGTTTTCCATGTCAACAGATAGCATGGGGAGGCTGCAGGGGTCCTTTACTTCAGCAACTAATCGATAAGGGAGAAAAGCTTGTGTTTAATTCTTAGAAAGTGAGAGGAAAATAGATATTCTGAATTGGAAACATAATGGTCCCTTTCACAGCTTCACCCCAGTTCACGTATGTTTGTTAAAATCTCCAGTTTGTTCCCTCAGTGATTGGAGAGATGTGATTAAACCTCAGGAACTGGAGGAGGGATTGGGGTACTTTCATCTGCATTGGCACTCCCTGCCTGACAATAAGCATTTGCAAATGAAACTGAATCCGCCTTCAAAACAAGTGCTGTGTGACCTGGCACAGCTTCCTCTGGGTGCCAGGCTCTCACTTAAGACACTGCAACTCATAAATGAGTAAAAGTAGAGAAAAACAGTCCCCCTTTTCCGGCCCCCTCCCACCATGGGCTGTGATTTTCTTTTTCTTTTATTGCTTTTGTGTGTGTGTGTGTGCACTCCCTCTGCTTCGAGTTTTCATTGCCATGCAGAAGAAGGGCACTTAAAGCTTTTGTCAGCAAGTATCCCCTACCTCACATATTCTCTATGAGAGCCTCAAAAACCAGTTTGGGAGATGGCCATGCTGTGGTGAAGCAGGAAGCTCAAAAAAAAATGCCAGATAGCCCTCAGCACAGAAAGGTGGTGCTGGGGATATGTGTGTGTGTGTGTGCGCGCGCGTAGCCCATCAGATTTATGTAAAATCATCAAAACATTTAAGGAGACATAGTAGCATCTATCACTCTCTTTTTGTTTATAGGATGAAGACTGAAAAAAAAACCCTCCACAATTAATATGAAATTAGCAAGATGAAAAAGCTATGGTCAAAACTGCTTTAAGAAAAAAAAAAAACAAAACAAAAAAACTAGTCCCGAAACATGCTTGCTCTTATTCAGCTGAAGCCATAAATTAAACACATTTCCTCTCAAATCACTTTATACTTCGGCACTCCTTCTCTAGGGATTACTCTGACATGGCAAGTGCATCATTTAGTATATTCACAAGATTTGATCACTGTTAGAGAAGTAGATGATTAACAAATAACACTAAGTGTGGGATAATCTTCACTCTTCAAACACACACACAAACTTCCAGTTGCTAAGCCACTTAGATCATTGTTAAAGAAAACCAACATTTAATATACATAGAGAAATTAGATACAATCACACACCGGTCCAGAGTAGACAGGAAGACAGAGCTGCTCGGTGCTAAAAGAATGATTGCACTTCAGTTGGAAACTGTTACACATTCACCATTTTCTAAGCATCTCAGAAACAAAACAAAAACAAAACAAAACACTCACAGTGATACTCTGCAACATCACACTACATTGTCTTATTATTATTACTATTATTTCCTTTTTCTGTGGAAGAGTAAAAAGAAAACCTACCTATAAGGAACTAAAACATATCATTTTTATAGGCTTATCAAGAACAGCCAAAGAAACCCCAATGTTTTCTTTCACAAAGTAGGCTGGCAAAGGAATTCAATAAGGAGGTACAATTTGACACAGTGAAATAAAACCAGGCTGGCTCTCAGCCAACATGACGTTAGGAATCACACACAAGCTGCACCAACTGCCTTCTGGTTCATGGCTGACTTTTTAAAGCTACAGTGTGCCTGTTCACTTTGACTAACTACCTTCAGCACAATTAGTGGAAGTGAATGCATCGTGAGTCCAAAACTGCAGTATTCTCCCTGCACTTGTCATGTACAAAGAAAAGCAAGGTGCCTTAGTAACTTCTTATTTTCTCTCTCCCATTCACTGTTGCTGCATGCATATGTCTTTAGTGTTGTTCTAAGCATGAATGTTGTGTTTCAAACTCTTTCTTTTTCTTCCCGGTGGGAAAAATAAGAGAGCCCAAGACTTATGGCTATTATCAATAAACACTCAGAAGCACCAGCCCTGTGTTATTTTTTCCCCCAACAGAGTAATGGACAAAGTTCCCAGAGCCGGCTTTTAAGTAATCTCTGTGAGAATAAAGCAAGCACTGCCCAGCAGCAAATCCCTTTATTTCATTATACAGGAAGTAGCACCTTTCAGGGAGGATGCAAAATAGATGCTCAGATCTGAAACACCCACATTCTTATATTTCATCCTACCCAATGAAGCCAATGAAAATTCGAACTGAAGCAAACAAAACCACACCCTACAAAAGGAAATCAGTTCTGTGAGGTTTAATTTTGTTTATCCCAGTTGCATGAAAAGCATAGTCCAACAAATACAACCACTACTTATAACCCATTGAGCACCTGGCACTGGATGAGTCACATATAAATAAGAAGATATTGTGCCAACGCCTAAGTTCATAGTCTCATCCACCATTATCCAAATTCCCAGTGCAGGAAAGTAGGAGAGGAAGTAGAAAAACTAGGTGACAGCTTTACATTAAATTACCTGGTCAGTCTCACAGTCCCCGGCTGGGCTGGGAACCATGACTAGAGAGGAACATTCCTATTTTACAAATGTTTTGTACACATGTAGAAAATATACATGGTTGCCTCCCCATTTAAACAAACACCAGTCAACATCTGGACACTTTTAGATCCACAAAAACAGTCAAAATAGGGAGCAATATGCACGTTTCCCTGAAGAATCCTGGAAAAAGTTATCTCCTACTGTGACAAAGTATACATTTCTGGAAGGATAGAGGAGAAAGTGGCTGTCTCCCTTTTCTTTAAGAATCTCAAGGACACTAGGAGATCAGCAATTATGGTATAAATTTGGAACCTGAATTCCAAAGTCAAATTTTTTTCCCTTACTTACTCCAGGAATAATATTAGAAATCTATTTTCTGAAGCACTATCACTGAAAACTATTTCAAGTGTTTTCTCTACCCATCAGTGTCATTGCTCCCCTTGCAAAAGCAAATAATCATAATTTGGAGATCAAGTCTTAAGTGTTCAAATATTTTGGGGTACCATTTTTTGAGCATGGGTCTAACATGTTTATGTGTCACCACTGCTGATCAAAAATGATGGACTCCTATGGAGACAGAGAACTCTTTCACCAACAGAGCCATAATGCTTTTGGGCTTGATCTAAAATTTCTTAACTATTCAACAACTACATAAAATGGAAGGGAACTGGACTGTGAGTCCTGTGGGCTGGGGAGCAGGAGAAGGGTATGGAGGACAGCACTGCTCAGAAGGAAAGCCATGCTCAGCTCACCACTCTTCCATGTAGTCCCATCCAACTCTTCCTTAGACACACTCATGGAGGATTCTGTGAAGTTTCTCCAATCATTCTTCCTTCACATGGAAAAGGACGTCACCTCCTGTCTTCCCTGCTGCGATCCAGAGTTTGTCTGTTAAGTAAGTGTAAGGGTTTCAGAAAGAGTTGCAGGAAATTATGACAACAGGTTTCTAACTTTACTGACATTTGTCATTATAAATATATCCTAGTACTCACTCCCTCCTTTCACCCTTCAACAAAACTGACATCAACCATTTTCTCTGTAACAATATCTATGTGCACAGTTATGTGTGTGAATCGCACTAAGTGATCTAAGCTGTGTGGTGGCTGTAGGTGGTGTATTGTGATTTTTGTACTACTGTGGTTAAAGAACATGTAGTAGGGAGGTGTGCATGGAGGGAGAAAGGGAGGAAAGGAGGGAGGAAGGAGGGGAGAGAGAGAGATTGATTCTGATCCAGCATATTATGGGATGTGATAAAGTAACTTTGGAGACCCTGGCGTCAGGATTCTGGAAGAGAACTTTCAGGCCCTCTTGGAAATGCAGTCAGATGGGGGAGGAGAGGAGGGTCAGGCGGGAAACCGGTGCCTCCACTGGCTGCTTTCATTGATCAGCACTCATCCCCAAGCAGGACAGACTCCCCGCCCGGGAAAGCCCGCGCTGTTCCGAAGGAGTCATCGCCCCCGCCTCTGACCCGGGTCCGCCCCGGGCGCCTTCAGCCCAAGTCGCCAAGGGCAAGGCCACGTCCCCGCGTCGCGAAGGGCGGCTCTAGGGAAAAGGTCGAGCAGCCTGAGAGCGGCGGTGGGTGGGACAGTGACAACGCCGGGCAGCGTCTTGGACCAGCCTCGCCGACCGAGAGTCGCGGGCACGGGCGACGGAGAGGGGAAAGTTTGTGGCTGAGACTTTCACACTTAGCCGGTCTTTGGCTGGGGAGCCCGTCCTGGGGAAGGGGGCGTGGGGATGCGGCGTGCGCCATGCCTCCACCGCGTGGTCCCGGCTCCACTCCAGCGGAACGGTCCACGCCGAGGGCGCAACAAGCGGCAGGGGCGCGGGACACGCCGGCACGAGGAGGGAGGGCAGGGCTTGTTTATTTTTCTTTCCCTTATCACGGTGTTCGTTCCCTCTCCTCCTGAGAGGGGAGCCACGCGAGCCCCCCCCCACTTACCTCCCGCACGGCCACGCCGGGAGGTTTGCCCCGCGCGGTGCTGGGGTCGCCACGCGCCGAGCCCCGCCGGACGCGCGCGGCACGCCGGGAGTTGTAGTCCACCGCTGGCGGCGGGGGTCGGGTGTTGGGGAGGCAGGGATCAGAAGGGAAGAGACCTGACTGGAGACCTTGAGCATATAAGGGAGGCGTTTTGCAAAAGCTTAAAACTTCGGGAGCTGAGGGAGGGGGACTCTCCTAGGAAGATTTTTCTAAAGTGTAGTTTGTCAGGTGAATACCATTTTCTTCCTGTCTTACTTGCTCCTGATAACCTTGCTGAAGTTTTAAATTGGGCTTTGGCAGTAAATGATAAGAAGAGATTTCTCCGGCCATGTTCAGGTTATTCATATTCTCCTTTTATCCGGAATTCATATGTGGCATCTCTGCTTGTAATACCTATTCTGTTGCTCACAGAATAACTCAGTTGAAGCCCAGGGCGTGTTAAGGGAGAATGAATAATTGACCTTACACTTCTAGAATGCTCTACAGCACTCTATAATGCACTTTTAACTGGTTCATTGTATTACAACCATTAAGCCACACTAAGATTTAGGCAGAGAAAAGCTAAAGATAACCTTGTGGAGGTTGGAGCCACCCACACTATTCATTTCCTTCTCCAGGCCTTCTTTTAGCAGCTGGGAAAAGACAGTGGGGAGGAGGCCTGGGGATAGATGTGGTAGACACCTCCAAAGGAGGAGGATGCTGTGGAGGATTTTCTTTGAATGGCAGATGAATATCTGTAGTAAATAAATAAGCAAACAAAAGAAGCATCTATGTAGTGGAAGAGTACAGGATGAAGAATAAGGTACTGGGATTGGGATAGAGATTCAGCAGATTTTGAACAGGCAAGAGGCAGTATGAAAAAGTTGTATCAGGAAGAAAGGGAGGGAGGAAGAAAGGAAGATAGGAAGGTATTTAGAAGCCAGAAAGACCTGGAATCTTGCCGGGTCACTTCTGAGTTAGCTCTGTGACCTTTATTTAACCTCTCCAAACCTCTTTTGCCTCATCTTTAAACTTAAATAATAGTTGCATAAGAACAACTGTAATGTGGCAGAGCAGATTAAAATAGACAAGGAGCACTTAAAATAGTGCCTGGCATATTTTAAGCTCTTAATAATGTTAGCTGCTATTAATATCTATAGAAATTCCTTTTGTGGAAGTATTAAAAGATAAATTGGAGCGGAAGTGCCCCTTAGGAGGCTGTGACAATGCTCTAAGCTACAGGTGATGTCTTGAACTACTGTGATGAAAAGGAAGCAGCTATGAGACACCTTGGAGGGAAAATGGACAGGGCAGTACAATCAGTTGAATGTGGAGATTAAGGGATCGGGATCAAAGATGGTTGTCATTTCTAGGTTGAGTAAATGGTTGATGCTGCCATTTCAGAAACAGTACAACTGCTGAAAAAACAGATTTTAGAGAAAGATAGCTACTTTTGATTTTGGACATGTGTAACTTGAGACTTTCTGTGTGTAAATAACCAAATGGGAGTTGGCAATGTGAATTTGGGTATTATGTGTAGATGTGGAATTTTGAGAGCCATTTATTTAGGAGAGGTAGTTGGAATTGCAGTAGGGGTGAGCAGGGAAGATGAAGACTCAGACAAGGTTGCTAGGGAGCAACTGGTGATGGCAGGAAGGGAATGGTGGAGGAGTGAGTGACAGGAGGGCTAAACAAGGAAGGAAAGGTGAGGAGGAATATTCTAACAGGTCAACCTATGCAGAAGGTAGCAAGTGACAACAGAATAGAGGCTCCTGCAAGTAGAACTGCTCCTGGGATTTGTTTTAGAAATTTGCCAGAGTGATTTTGCTTTTCCTAGTGATTGGGGAGGGGATCTACTGGAATAGAGTTGGTGGGACTGAAAATGCCAGACATCTTCCATTGCCTGAGACAGTCCTGCTCAACAAAGAATTGTCCTACTTCCTGTGTGTCTTGACTGCCCCACTGCTCATTCATGTTAGTGAAAACCTGTTTCTAATTATCTGAGCTTAAAATCTATGTTGCGTTTAAACATAAAGTGTTTTTTCACACCGTTTTGAAATATATTGGATTTTCCTGGGACGCAGTAAATTGAATGGCAGTATCATTTGTGGAATTTGAATCATCAGTGCCATTCACGTTGCGGCTGTCCTTTCCATGGTGAGTCTCCAGATGGACACAAATGTCTGAATACTTCACTAGCACTTATTTCTCCTATCTAATGGTAGTTTAGCAACCACTAGCCAAACTTTCCTTATCCCTCTCTACCTCTTATTCTCCTCAACCTCTAATAATCAGTAGCTTTGTGAATTTCTGAGAGAAGAAAACAGCAAAGTTAGCAGAGTAGTTGGATGGGAGAGACTGGAGATTGAGTAGGACTGAGAATAACTCTCAGGCTGGGGACAGCTTGATGGAAGGTTTGTAGGCATTGCATTGTAGGCATTTGGCTTTTACTCTGAATGAAATGGGCAGCTGCTGGGGAGTTTTGAGCAGACAAGTGACATGGTCAGGCATATTTTTAAAGGATTATGTGGCTACTTCATCAAGGATAGATCATAGGGAACAATGGTAGAAGCAGACTAAGTAAGAAGTTATTGCAGTAATCCAGACAAGCTATAATAGTGGCATGAACCACAGTGGTAGCAATGAAAAGTGTTGGATTAGAGGTGGGCAAAAAATCAAGAATTTCTGAGCACACAAAGGAAGCCTTTCAGGGGTTGAAGAGGGATAAAGATAGAGAGAGATCTATGTGTAGATCCTTATAGAAATGAGGCTTGGTTGGGAATGACCTGAGAGACTGGAACTGTGGTGACTAATAGAAATAAAGGGAATAGTGAAATCAATTGCAGAGGAGTCAAGAAAAAGAATGATGGGGAGGCTGTGAATGTGGGGAGTATAGTGGATGTCTGTGCTCCATGACTCTGTGGATGGAGATTATGAGGTCTCAGAATCAAGTGGATGCTTGATCCATGTGGGAATGTTGAAAGCCTAGGGAGGAGAGGCTCAGTACCCAGGGTAATGATCATTCAAGATCCCTGCCAGGTTCTGGGCAGACTTCTTCAGAATGTGTAGTCCTTTTGCCTCTGCCCTTGATCTTCTTGATGGATGGACTTGGCCATTTTGATGGAGTTGAGGATTGGGGAAAACTGATAATCACTAGAAAATCAAAAGGCCATGAAACTGGAGTTTTGGACCCAAGGCCCAAACCCCTGAGATTCCATATGCCAGGTCCAGCCACCCATCCCTAAATGCCAAATAAGGAAGCAGGATAAAGGGAGAGAAAGGAGATTTATTACATGGCTTGGGAAGAGGCAGAGTAAGCACTCAAGTCATCTTCAGTCATCTTTGGGTCACAGACATGATAGGTTTAAAGAGACAAAAGAACTGAGGGCAGAGGACAAAGGTATGCATAGGTAACAGTCCAAGTCACAGGTGTGTTCTGGTTGACCATTCTCTCAGTCCAAGGGTTCTAGGACAGGATCCTAAATTGTTACCTGGATTTATTGTCAACTGGTAGGTGGTCCATCCTGAGGAAGTTCCACTGCTGGGGGTAGTTTTTGTCCCTTGTCATGAAGATGTTACCTGTTTTTGTTGGAATCCAAGGTGATTGCAAAGTGACTACAAAGAGAAGGCTCAGACCACGACAGATAAAAAGTGAAGGGCCGATGCCATGCTTGTCTCTTTCTATTAGTTACTTCGTAAGCCTGAGTAAGGAGTCCATGCTTTTCCGCTAAAACATTTTAAGCTCCTCTTAAAGCCATAAACAATGATTAGATAAGGTGTATATCTAGAATGTTGGCTGAGATAGATTTATAATTATAGAAATGGAGGAATTTTGCAAATTTTGGCAAATAGAGAATTCTGGCAAAGAAGGCAAGGGGAAACTGGGCCCTTATTGTGAAGGGCTGTTCTAGAATTAAGGGCAGGAGACAGCTGTGATTGTAGAGTTAAGTGAAGAAACCCTTAGGTACAGAAATAAGAAAGTCCTGAACAGGGAGGATAGTGGTGTAATAACATCCTAGAGAAGAAACCATGAATTGTGTATCTTTGGAAGGAAAGTGGTATAAGAACATGGAATGATTCAGGAACGTTCAGGAGAATTCTAAAGAGATAAGGGAGCATTCAGATTTTTTGTTTATCATGAAAACAAAGTTCTTGGCAAAAACCAAGACAATGAGAAATTAATGATAAAAAATAAAATTCCTCAATAAACCCTTTCTTAAAATACCTGTGTAATTATATATAGTCTCAATTTTAATCCTGTCCTTGTGATTTCTTTTTGTAAATGTTACGTGGATACTTAAAATATTAGTATTTTCTTCCTTTATAAGCTGTAGGGCTTAAATAATAAATAAGATGTATGGAACACATTATATAGCATATAGACTCCATCAATATTTTGATCGTTGTTCACACCCCCGGATCTATATATTTTTCTATTCTTGATTTTTAAAGAATAACAAATTTCCCAGTTTCCTAACATTCTCTTATTTTTTTCTTCTTTTTAAAGTTTTGCTTAAGCATTTTAATACACATTATTTTGTCCATGAAGATTCATACTAGTAATAATTTTATTGTGAATTGTATCCTTTGTCATTATAAAGTCACTCTCTTAGTCAGACTTGGTGGAACACTCCTGTAATCCCAGCACTTGGGAGGCTGAGGCAGGAGAATAGTGAATTCAGATGCAGCATGGGCTACATAGCGAAATAAAAGTGACTCTCCTTGTCCCATGTAATACTTTTTATACAGTTTATTGCATCTTAGGCTGGAGTTGTGGCTCAAGTGATGGATTGGCTGCCTAGTAAGTGCAAAGCCCTGAGTTCAAACCCCAGTATCACCAAGAAAAAAAGAATTTATTGCATCTCATTTGAAATTATTTTAATTAGATACATTTAATCTTATTTTGGAGATGTCTGTTTTTTTAATCCTTGTGTTTGTTTGTTTTCTCTTTTGCATTATGACCTAAGCTTTCTTTGGTTTGTTTTTATTTTATCTTTGGTGCATCAGTGTCAAAATAAATAAAGCTGGACCCTAT